GGGGGGGGGGGGGGGGGGGGGGAGCACTGCCATATATGGGCTATATAAGTATGTGCCGCTGTGAAGGGTATGGTTTTCAAGCAGTTTACTCTAGGATAGGGTATATGAAGCAGAACATTTGGGTCTAGAATAGGGTATCATTTTTCCCAAAACTGACTAGTTAGTTGAAGATGTTATCTCGACTAAGGAAACCAGGAATAGCCACTCAAAAATATGAAAAAATCAAATCNGGCGAGTTTAAATTTACGCAGATCAGCCGCAATAGTGTCGATAGATGGGGGGATTTGGGGAGTTTACTCTAGTATAGGGTAGCAAAATTCAGGTGAACTAGCTCTGGTATAGGCTAAGGGTTCCAGGGTCCCAGCGGCACATCCCCACACAGAAATTCCCAAAGCAACCCCCCGGCTGCAAATGAGCTGGAAATACGGTCAAATATAAAACCTCCTCTGCTCACTTTGATCAATCACGAGATAATTTTGTAATGATCACGTGGCTCAAGACGATGCACGCGAACAACAGGGACTGATCTACAGCTCTGCAGAATCTTAACCGTTTCCCTAACAAACGAAAACTTTCTCACCTACGCTTTCATCTTCTTCGCCATTTATCCAAGCGATCACCCTTTGGTTTACAGTGGATTCCACGTCGTTAATGGCACGCTTGTTTTCATCAGGCTGAACGCGGCTGCGATTGTGCATTTGCCTGGTTTTGCAATTTAAACAGTTGCATCTTCGAAAGGGACAATTAAATTTGTGCCCTCGAAGTGGAGTTAAAATCCCATGGTTTTTGCACAATCGACATTTCATCTGTACTCGCCCTGACATGATATTTGTAAGAAGTTGAGTGATTCAAAACAGACTCGACCGACAACCGACGCTACAAGCCACGCTACAATGCTAGCAACGAATCTCATTAAGTAAAATATAGAATTACCATTGTGTGGTTTGCGATTTTTATTTAGATAAGCATACTTAATGAGAGAGAGTCTCGACGGTAAAATAATACCGCTTTTTGACGGCTGTTTGATGGGTAGATTGTTTCCTTATTTGAGGACTGGCGGTAAATGCACTTTTGATTGCGAACACAAAGTCAACGTATTAAACAGCAAACGAAAGCCATATTTTGTACTGCCTTACTACATCCGACGGTTGTAACACTTTTATAATCGCAACTGAAAAGAGGTCTGAAGAAGTTAAGTAGTTCAGGACCCGTTCAGTTCAACTCCTATTCAATGGCCACCCTCGGGTAAATGTTCAGAAGGCCGCTTAATCGGGGGTTCAACTATAGAAACGGATATCGGAGCCAGCAAAGTTTTAATTTTAAAACTTATCAAAAATCCGAACACAGTTAATTTTATTACAATTTACAAAGTGGTTACCGATATGAAGTTTTCAATAAATTTAGTAAAACTTAAAGCAATTGCTACAAGGATGTCACTGATATATGTTTATCGTTATAGTGCTGTTTACCTATTTTAGTTCGTTAGTTTTTTTGTTCTATCTATTTAGTAAGTTAGTTATTGTTAGGCGCATTGAGTTAAGAAATAATGAAATATGTGCCCTACAAAAATATAAATATTATCATTATCTTATTAACATTATCTAATTAGCACGTAAATTGAAAATTTCTTTTGATTTTAAAACAGCATGATATGAGAAAAGTGATTAAATTTTAAAATGTTATTGAAATGCATGTAAATTAGTTCACTGATCAATGATTGTTAGACTGCCACTTAAAGAATGTTTTAGAGCTTGTAGGCATCATAGATACGACGAAAGCCAAAACGTGTAAGTAATAATGTTGTTTGAAAAGCACTATGCCGCTGATACTGGGGCAATTGCAATATCATCGTGACCGATATCAAAAAAACCAATTGAAGTCTTCTAAACTTTTTAAGCATATGGCCCAGTTCAGACATCGTGCTTCTGCCATTTGGTTCGACTATGGTACGGCAGAAAAACAACTCTGATTCAGACGTCGTGCCAGAGTCAAATCAAATTCAGAATTTACTGATGTCTGGGAACAACTCTACTCCTAACTCCCCGTGAGAACGCAATCCCGCCAAAATATATTAATATAATTTATGAATTTTATTTGGCGCGCGGACAGAAGCCCGACGTTTGAATCGCTGCCGTGCCAGAGTCGTGTAGCACGGCAGAGCTTGTCGAACGTAATTGCTTGCCGAACTTAATTCGAAAGTTTGATTCAGACGCTGTGCTTCTGCCGTGCTTTCGTCGAATTTAATTCCTTAATTTAGTTCGGCACGGCAGAAGCGAGACGTCTGAACTGGGCCTAAAATTTTTCAAAAGTCTGGACAACAATTTTACACAGGTTTTGGCAAAAACATTCACCTTCTTCAGTGAAAATATTACTGAAGATGCAAATTGAATATAACTAATTAGTTTTTTTTCACAATTGATATAATACTGATCACAAGATTATGAATTCTCTTGTGTTTGATTATTCCGCGATATAGAATGATTTGCTTGAAGGAGTCTCAATGGATCTCAATGGGGTAGTTAACCGTTACTGTCAAACAATGCAGAAAGTGAACTGTCAACTGGAACCATTCAATCACTAACCGTGAATTGAATTAAAGCCGTTAGACTCCTTTGATCTCTCTTAACAAGAACTATAACTGCGTTAAATTATAATAATGATATAAATACACGGCCATGTTAGACATTCCCAAATAAAGCCATTTCGATTACCAGTCCTTTTCGATTGACGTTTTTTCATTTTAATCATTTTAAGTTTTTAGACACAGTTAGATCAGACTTCCATTTGGAAAAAACCTTCTGGTCTCGAATAAAACGTTCGTGACATTTTTATCTATTTTTTACTGTTACAAACATATTTATGCTAATTTTGTAGTTTTACTCGCACTTGAAAATGGCCTCGGAGAGGTCGAAACGTCATGACGTTTTATCGCTGACCATCGCTAGTTTTTGTAACAAATTCATTATTGATAAGATTTAATAAAACAATATTATTACGGATAAATCAAACAATTTGAACAATGAAGACATCTAAGAAAACAAATCAAGAAATTTATGGTCTGGCAATCCAAAAGAATTGAATTCATGGTTTCACTAAGAACTACAGAAAAAAATATGATTTTACATCATTAGAAATAATGAATGATTTCAATTTAAAAAGAAATATATCAATTAGATTAATTACTAAAATTTTAGTATTTTAGTTACCACATATTTTAGTATAAAATGAAAATTTCTTTTCGCATTGGAAAATGAGTAGTTTTAAACAATTAGATATTTGCAATAAGGACAGCTTGCGAATTTATGTTATCGATTGTATCATCCGTAACATTTAATGCAAAGTAAATTATATAAGTTTAATCAAAACTCTCATATTTTTGTGACATGTTCATTATATCGTGTTTTTATATGGAAAATATTTACCAGTATTAGGTCACTGGATTAAACATTTCCTTTATCGAAAAATTATGATTTCTAATGAGATATTCAATAATGTGGTCATAACATTGATTCTCCTTCATAACTATAGCAAGTAAAATTAATGAACTAAAAAAATCATTTTAAAAACATCATTTTGCTAATGAACTAATGAACTAAAAAAATCAGTTCAAAAACTTCATTTTGCTCTGTCACCTTATTTAGGAAATAGAGGATATTACACGGTGGCGAGAAGATATGAATTTTATGTTCGAGTGGCAAGAACTATTATTATGTAGACATGCTGATGACGCCGTTTTTGACGATTTTCCGAAGTTTTCCGACCACTTTCTGAAGATTTCCGAAGATTTTCTGAAATTGTTCCAAAGGCCTGACGCACTTTCCGAGCATTTTCCGAACATCAACAAACATTTTCCGAAGATTGCCGAAGACGACCGATGAAGATCCGACGATGTTTCGATCATACACCAACAAATTTAAGCGTAGTTAAAGGGACAAAAGAGGATTGTTATCAAACATAATATCTTCACATGTGAGGATATCATATCGTTTTTATCAGTTTGTTACCACTAGGTATACCACTGACTTTTATAAAACAATTTTGACGATTGTTTCAATATTCTGCAGCTCTATAAGGCCAAAAACGTACTCTCATTCGATTCTGCAATAAGCAAAATCACCCTTTTAATTCCTATAAGTATTACCACCTATCACTTTTTTGTGGTCTGTTTTCCTGTACGTTATCCCGTTTAACATAGATTTTATTTTCCGTAGATTGTAATTATTATTATTATTTTGTTTTCGTAGAAGAGATTTTCTCAACAATTTAAGTATAAAACACTGCGACAATATGGAAAAAAAACATTTTCAATTAAAAAAACGACGACGTTTCGACGTTCGCTTAACGTCATTATCAAGGCTATTATTTTTTAAATGACAGTTAGTACATCATATTGATTTGATTTTCGACAGGTTGTAATTATATGTTTCACTTTTCAATTGAATTCTTTTCGCAAAAATACTCCGAGATAATGGCCGACCAGCCGAGCTTACAAGTTGTATTAACTCCTTACTATGTTTGTTTTGATTATTAAACATGTACAATTCACAAATACCTCGAATTTCGTCACAGAAGTCATATTTAGTAGCTATAAACAGAAGTTTGGGTTCCTGAAAAATTACCATACTTTTAATTGTTTTGATTGAAAACATCTATCATTTAATCAAACGAAATTTCGACCAAGCAAGCTAAAAATTATTCCCAATACAAACTCTGGTATTAAAATTTGACTTCTTGAGATGCAGGAAAATTCCCTTGGTAATGATCGGTAATGTAAAGTCTAAATTTGAGCTAAGTGGCCCATCAAACCGGAGCTTATCCCGGTTTCTGTAGCATGAAGCGACTAGAAATATTTCTGCCCTACCCCCCTCCCCTGGATGGGATGCTAGTCCATCGTAGGGTTACCCCCAGCATTAAGTTCGCCGGTACCCATCTGTACACCCGGGTGAAGAGAGGCACTGTGAGAGTGAAGTGTCTTGCCCAAGAACACAACATGATGTCCCCGGTCAGGGCTTGAGCCCGGACCGCTCGATAGGGAGTCGAGCGCACTAACCACGAGGCCACAATAATAATATGATAAGCCTGTAGAAAATAAACTCATGAACTGTGTTGGAAATTCAACGTTTTATTTCATTCCACTTGACATCTTCCTTCAGCGTCTACTGGCTCGATCCCAGGGTCCTCTCTCTAGAGAGAAGACCCTGGGAACGAGGTTGCTAGCCTTAGTGTTTCTACTCTTGTAATCAAATTTTTCGCCATTTCAAAAACAAAACAAAAACTGCAATAGAAGCGAAAAATGGCACGGGTCACGTGATGAGGGCAAAAGAAGCCTTCATTTTGTTGAGGTGTCCCATGTATTTGGTCAGAGGAGAACTCGGGAACAACTGCAATAAACTTACAATAAATAAATTAAAGTCAAGGGAACAGCTTTTACATGTAAATCTCAGACTCCTGGCAAAGACTTCGATCGACAGTTTCCTGTAATTGGCTGTGAAACCAAACTCCATCGTTAACTTTACCGACAGTAAAAAAAGTTTTTTATTAGCTTACTATTTCGCTAGGTTTTCGTAAGTGCAGGACTACTATTTAAATGAAAATTTTGAAGTCAAATTTTGCGGAAATTATTCGACATAGTTACCCTATATTTCAAAGAGACCGAAATGGCTACAGCGTGTTAGTTTAACAAATTGGCGTCAGTTTTTCATGCGTCTGTCCTGAAGTTGATCATGAATTTCGTCAAAACACTGTCAAAGTAGCTGTGGATCCACGAGCGATAGCCGAGTGGATCCGCAGACTCCTTTGTTTTTTACACATTGTCAACTTGTCCGATCTCGCTCGTCGCGTCAACATCGCATAGATTATGAATTCATCCGTCTGTCCGCTTATTGACAATGAAAATTAGCCAATCAGGAGCACTCGAGAATTTTTGCAGTTATTGTAAAATTGTAAAAATAATTCTTTAACAACTCGTAGGACATGCTCATTGCTAAGCTTAATTTAGTCTATATACAGTATACATTTAGAAAACAAACCAAAGAAAATAAACAAAGTAGCGCGTTAATTTAATAGTAGGACTCGCTGTAGTCTTTCTCCGTAAATAAAAATAGCTTGTGTGAGGTCCATTTAGTCGCATACACTCCTGTATTCCTTCATTATATATTAAGTTATTCTCTTGCAGTTTTCCCAGTGAATTGGTAAATCACGGACTCTTCCGCAGCCTCGCCTTCTGTTAGACGCACCTCGGTGCGGCTTCGTAGTTCTAATCTCTCGTGTTCCTCTGGGTTATCTGCAACGAAAACCACAACAGTCGATACTTGTTCCCTAGCCTGTAGTTCAGGCGTATTTTGGACGAGCGAGTGCGCATATTCCCATATCGAGTGTTTAGGATTTGGATTAAGTGAACAGTGGAGGTTGGAGCGAGGGAAAAACTCGTCCCAACTCTCCACGTTTTGCGAACTACATGCTACTTGTACACAGATTGTTAAGAGGAGTTTCCCAATGACGCCGTACATGAAGTCAACGAAACAAGCAAACCACGACGGAGACTAACCTGGATCTATTTAGTGTATTAGGGTAGACGGTAGGTCAAACCGTAGAAATAGATCCGCCTTTTCAAATTTCGCCTGCGTAGTGTGGACAGAGCCTGAGCAGGATTTGTTTTTAACTAGCACAGCATGAATAGAATAAAAAAAAATGGTTTTCTGTGGCAGTTAAGAATCTTTTACATGATATTTTTGAGGTAGTTACAGCAGGGTCCAGCAGGACTCGGCAAACACAAAACTAAAGTTAAGGCAGTTGTGCGGTCAGATACGGGAGTTATTTACCTGTGGCTGGGACAGAGCGTGATGGTGCGTATAAGAAAACCACGGCAAACACGTAGGTATTCCACATCCCATAGATTCCAGTGAACAAAGCACCTGTAAAAAGAAAGAAATAAAAAAGGTAATAAATTATACAAATATTAAACGAACACACTAAAATTAAACAAATTGTAATTTATCCACTCGAGAGCAACAACCAATCAGAGACGTTATAAAGAGCTACGTCATCAGTATCGGGTCCAGTTCCAACTTCGTTCACAGGGTCTCCCAAAGTACTCTCTCGAAAGAGAAAGTAGAGAGAGGACACTGGGAACAAGGTTGGTTCAGTTTACGGGTCCAGTCTCACACGTCTCTCCAGCGGGAGACCGAGTTACCTTGTGGCTCTGTTTCAAAACGAGTCCTCCTGCAAAACCTTTCACATGAAAATGATCCTGTAGGCGGAACATATTTTCACATGAATAGTTTCGCATGGACACTCGTTTTGACACAGGCAAAAGGCAACTCGGAAGTGGCCTTTATATTTAGAACGTGACAAGGGACATCCGTTCAGTGATTTCTAAACTTACTAAAATTATTTCTTACTTGAAATCTCCACAGTGGACTCCTCATCTCCAAATTTCCACTGAGCCTCGTTCACATTGCTTATGATAAAGAACACCACAGTCAGCCCAGCGCACAGGACTGTAACCACCATCAGGAATTCAAAACGGTAGATCAAGCCCTTTAAAGACAGAAAGAATACAGCCTTCAAATGTAGGTAATAAAATTACAAAGGGACAATCTGAACAACAGCTCGTAGCGTCATGGAATCAATTGGTGCAGCAATCATGAGGAGTACCATCTCTTTCAAATAAGGCTTCACCTTTCGTCCACTCACGTCAATCCTCGTCACTTTTCGTCAGTCCTTGACATCTCTCGTCAAATCTCGTGAACTCTGGTCAATCCCTGTCAAATCGCATCAACCCTCATATTCTTGTTCACCTCGACAACTTTCGCTAACTCTCGTCAACCCACGACATGAACTCTCGTAGACTTCCGTCATCCCTCGTCAACTTTCGTCAACCCTCATCAATGGTAAACGCTCGTCCACCCCGTCAACTCTCGTCAACCCACATCAACTCTCGTCAATTCTCGTTAACCCCCGTCAACCCTCGTCAACCCTCGTTATTTCTCGCCAATCCTCGTCACGCCCCGTCAACCCTCAACATCTCACGCTAACCAGTCGTCAACCAACATCAATCCTCGTCAACCCTCGTCAATCTTCGTCAACTATAAACTCCAACCTCGACAACTTTCGTCGCCCCCCCCCGGCTCCTGTCAACTCTCGTCAACTCTCGTTCTCATAAAAGTATTTCTTACCTGGTACTGAAGCTGTCTCGCGCGGGACATGGTCGGAACCGCAGCTCTCTTACCCCGGATGTTCCAGAACACTCTAAATATCATAATACAGAGAAACAGGAAGTACAAGCTTGCGCAAACAGCAGCGAAAATGATAAAGGCATACTGGATCAAGTTAAGAAAAAAAATTGAATAAGTGAACCTACAAAGATTACTGTCTTTACACGAGATATCTTTGGGAAAATGAGAAAACGCTCGGGCTCGGTGATACTTTGTAGAAAGTCGTTATAGCTAAACTTATCTTCCAAAAGAACTTTATCATTCTTTGTGGAAAATTAAATTACGAGTAATAGTACAAAAGGTCCCTTCTTCTTCGCACTAGCTGATTTCCGAGAATTGTTTACCGGAGTGCACAGTTTTCGTCTGCGGTTGCCAAGCAACAGGAAGCATTCTTATGGTTTCCTGTTGACAAGACCTGGACAACCAACACCGCTTTACGTTCGACTTATGAACTCGTCGCCCACTTCTACGACTCCCCAAGTTGAAGACAGACTATTATATTTGGAGGGAGGGGGGTTAGAGGGTTGGGCAATTCCCCGCCCCCTCCCCCCCAAAAAATTCCTACACAGCAAAAACTGCTGAAAAAAAATCGTGCAAGCGGAGCCATGGGAAAAAAGCCGAGCATGTGCTTTCTGCCTTGCAGGTCTTATTTTTGATGTTAAAAAGTTCTTGCACAAGCTATTACCCACCAAAAATAATCATGCACAACCGAGGTAAAGTGAGAATAAAAAATTTCATGCTTTAGAGAATTGCCCAACACCCCCTCAAAAAAAATGGTCCGTCCCTTATCATGTTGTGATCGTGAAAGGATACAGCTAATTTGCTTCCGAGTTTGGTCGCCCAGATAGTGTAGAATGGATTGTGCAGCTGATAGCCTCTGAAATAACAAAAAACATCACAAATATTATACATGTACATAAGCAGTTTTTTATTAGTAAATTACTTATCTCGCAACGAAAATCGAATCACTGAATTCGAATGAATGCCTTCACGCTACGTGGATAGACGACTAACGGAATAAAAAAAAAAGAATACAGAAAAAAAAAATGGAAATTTAATTCCTGCACTCAATCACTCACGCCCCCTCACGCCCACCCTCCGTGCTAAAAAAAAAAAAACGCGTTTGGCGCGAAAACGTAGCAATACAAGGCGGAAAAATGGCGAACGTGCATTAAGTCTTATACTGCTCAACAACTTAGGAATTTCAAAACTTCTAGTGCTTTAAGACATGAATTAAAAGGCGTTCAATATCGAACCACTTCCGGAGAAGGACGTGTAGAATATAGTCAGTAAACGAAAAAGTCCTAAAGCCTCAAATCACGGAATCAAATTAAATGAACGGACAATAAGATTATGCGGCTACGAAAGGTAAGACTTAATTTTTGACATATGCTGTGGATTTTGTCCTATTTCCTTCAGCAAAAACGAACAAAAATCTAGGATAAGATTGTGAACAGGAAGATTATTCACTTGGAAAAATGAAAGCCTTGGAGCAACATGAAACCATCGCATTATCGTAGAATGTCTAAAATTGAGCGGAAAGTCTAAACTCAACTCTTGTACGTACTGTACCAACACTGGTATCAATGTTTTTAATCAAAGAGGAAATGATTTCAGTCTGTGATTGTTCACTATCTGAATAGCAATATTCAATTCTTCGTTGGCAAATATAAGTTGAGAATTACAATATAAGCTTATTACTTTTAATCTATGTACAGGCAACTGATAAACTAGCGCCACCTTGAAAGAACGATTTGTAAGCTTAATCATGGCGGCAGAACATCAAAAGAGTCATCATATCGGAGCTAAGTATTCTATTTTCGTTTGACATCCGTTAAAACATTTTAATTACACACCTGGTTCAAAACGGAAACAGAGTTTACTTTAGCAACCTAAGATACTCAATTTTGTCTTATTATCTAGGGCTTCCAAACAGAGAAAAAAAAACAATAGCAAAGAACTGAAAGCTAGGTTCATAGACAAAAATGAGTAGCTTATTGTGTAAGAATTTTGAAGAGAAGGAAGTTCATAACTAATAGATAAATATTTATAAATGATCAAATTAATGATCTGTGGGTCACTTCTGAAATGGGGTGTCAATTTGTGGTTCAGGTCTGAAAGAGGGTGTTGACTTGTGGTTCAGGTTTAAAATAGGGTGTCAATTTGTGGATCAGGTCTAGAATAGGGTGTCAATTTGTGGACCAGGTCTAAAATAGGGTGTCCATTTGTGGACCAGGTCTAAAATAGTGTGTCAATTTGTGGACCAGGTCTAAAATGGTGTGTCAATTTGTGGACCAGGTCTAAAATAGGGTGTCCATTTGTGGACCAGGTCTACACTAGGGTGTCAAATTGTGGTTCAGGCCTGAAATAGGGTACGTGCGCACAGAATTATATTTTGATCTGAAACTGAGTAAGGGTTTCAAGAAGCACACACCCAACAAAAGTTTCAATGGGCACCATGCACACTCCCCCACCCCCCTCCCTCTGACATCAGAAAGTGGACATACCTCTCACACAAGTCAAAAACAAGTAAAGACAAGCATCCAAATCCAATTGCACCAATCTGCCGCCAGTAAGTTTTTAGCCTGTTTCTTTCAGGTCGGTCCTATTACAAACAAAGAAACATGTACATCAGTCAAAAATCACAAAATACATGCTTCAACTGTAAATTGTTATGTTTTTGTGTTAGTAAGTTAAGTATATCATGGTTCAACCAGGCAACTTTGTTTGGGAATTTGGCTATCCTGTACTAGAGAATGGTGGCTGTACTGGTTATAACTGCCCACATCCTCATCACAAGACCATGAATCTACAGTGTAATGAGCATTGTAGAATATGAGTAAACAAACGGTGTATCTTTAATTTCCATACAAACTGATCATGAAAATTTTCAGATTACCAAACAAATTACCCCTTCCACATCAATATCACACTGTTACAGATTTTAACACCTTCTGCAAATTAATTTTGTCCTGTAATATTGCATAAATTTGTCTGCTTTGTTCCAATTTTTTTCCTTTCCTTATTTCTAATAAATTTCTAACATTTGGTTGCTCAAGGAAATTAGCAGCAATGCTACATGTACTCTGTAAATTCTAGGGTAGATAAAGTTTATGATGATCAGATAAATTACTAAATGTAGTGGATAGTTGTTAAAATAAAATATATATATACAAATTAAAAAAAGACTCTCCTTTGTTATTGAATACCTAGCTGTGCTGATAGCATTGTCAATCAAACCTTTGAACAACTGAGACCTCCGCCGAGGTCTATATTTCAATGTGTTATACCTACCACTAAATGCTCGCCGGTGAAGATAATCCAAAAGCACATGAGCATACCGTAGAACAATCCTTGACGAATGTCAGAAAACAGTAACATGAACGGCATGTTTAACCACAAAGTCAACCACTCAAAGGGAACTGAAAACATAATAACTTGTTATCAATATTATTGTCATTCACGAATACGAATTTAAACAGTGCTTCTCAAACTTATTAATAATTCATCAAGTTAAGACAAAGAAAGGGCCACTGGTTTATCAGTTTTTACTGTCATGTGCTACCATCATTAAATAAAGTTGTTACTTACTTACTTTCTTACTTACTTACTGACAACCATGAAGGAGATTTGAATACCAGGTCTTAATTGACATAGATTTCAACGATTTTACTTCTCTGTTTATTCCTTAGTTTTTGTTTCAAACAAGAAGATATATCAAACACTTGAGACAGTGATTCATCGGCTCTCCAAACACCTCAAGTTTCTTAAAAGATACTCTGCTGCGAGTCGTATTTTCAACTCTCTTCTTGGTATTTGGATATCCAGATCAAACACTGTCTCTCGTGTTTGATACATTACTTTCAAACTCAAAAATAAATTGTGTCTTAAATAACATATTAAATTTTTATCATTTTATTTTTGGATTTTCTCCTTAGTCTTAGTTTTGATTGAGAAGATATATCAAACACTTGAGAGAGCATTTCATCACATTTGCAAACACCTCAATGTTTGTCAAAAATGCATCCAACATACAGTTGCTCTGGTTGTGACCACCTCTCATAAGTGACCAGTTTTCCAAAATAACAAAACTTTCCAAGTCAATTACTATATTTGGAACCTCATGTAGGCAGCCACTTCTAAGCTCTCATAAGTGGCCACTTCCCGTAAGCGCTTACGGGAGGTTTGACTGCATCATATTTACGACTGAGCTCTTCTTTATGTTTGGATATGTAATGAAACACTTCTATCTCCCATGTGTGATATGTCACATGAAAGCCTTTCAATATTGAAATCTTTATTGGTTATAAGACTTACAGTTCATGAATGCTGTGGTAACACCCAAAGCAAAGAGTGCCCTGAAAATATTGAAAAAACCAGGCTGATGTTATGTATTTGTTTTGAAATCATTTATAAGCTTCTTTGCTGCACAACACCTATCCTATGATTCTATTACAGTGCGACAACTATAATCCGACTTGGACCACTCTAAAATAATAATAATAATAACAATAATAATAATAATAATAATAATGATAATGATGATAATGATGATGACGATGACGAGAACGACGACGACAATGATGATGATGATGATGATGATACAATAAAAATGTTCTTAGAGAACAAAGAATGAGATCTGAGGAATTTTCAAAGAATTTATCATCATTGATTGGTACATTTTGACCCTAAATTTTGAGTGATTACCAAACAAGTGGTTTTTGTTTACCAGTCACAAACCAAGTTTTCAGGAAAAATGCCTTAACTAAATTTAACTAGGATTAATTCACCACCAAGGATGGAATTTGTGCAGTAAAGAAAGTACTCTGAAGTTGGTAGTGTATGACAGATACAATGTACTGGTAGCTTTCAAATTTTGTAGGAGAATTATCGTTCATGTGCTTTAATATTATTTGTCAGTATTGAAAAAGATTGCCACCCACTGTTCTCAATTGACCATTTCATTTGTCACCCTGCTCATATTAGGGCCCCAGTCCAAGAAATTGCAGTGCAAAAACATTTCTAACAATGTTTCACGCTTCATGTTTAATACAATTATTTTGAGTACAAAGATGTAGCTTACTTACTTTTCAAGGAGCATAGGATCCCTACTCAGACTCTTGACTCTCTTAACAAACCAAATAAGTATAATTATACTAATTGGACCAACAATTGTCTTGATTGTGAACCACATCTTGGTAAAGCCTCCATTTTGATGAATTTCCTAAAAATTTAAAATAAATTAATAAGTAAACATGGTTTTTAATTTTCCAACTTTGCAAACATATTTTAAAAGTTACAGTTTATTTACTTCTGATTAAACAAGATATGGAAAAACATTTGAAAAGCAAAATAAATGCTAGATATAACACAATGTTAAGGCGTCACCTGGTCGCCATCATCAAATGCAGATTTAAGTTGTAATTCAGTTGGGATTATTATATACTAGCTTAGGTGTTAAGGAGTCAAGAAAAATGTCAAGAATAATGTCAGCTACCGTAATTGAACACTTAAATTGCAGACTCTATTCTAAATGCATATAGACTACATGTACCACACCAACAGAATATTCAATGCGTAGAATCGTCCACATGGATGGACTTTACATGTACATCTTTTAGTTTGTAACTCACCACAAAGTTGAATTCAGAGATTTTTCCAATTTTGTTATTCCAGTGTTTAGCTGGGAGCCTTATGTTGACCAGGTATTCTTCGTAATGTACGCTGCCGATTTCAAAGAAGGGGATCTCCTCGCAATTGTAGAAACCATCATCAGCTCCAGACTACATTTAAACAAACAAATTAATTAAATTAATATTACCACAACGTCTAATCTGAAAAACACATTCACCAGTTTGTTTGTTTAGCTATCTAGAACATTTTTACATTTAGCAGTAACAAACTTTACTTTAATTGGACATCATTGCCACAAAGTAAATAGCTCACTGCTTAAGCCAAAACAGTGCTGTTGCATTTCTGAGGAAACAGATCAAAAGCGTGTGCTCTTTTGGGACAAACTATTTCAACCACAGCCCACTCAAGATTCATTTGTATGAGGTGACCAACAAAACTGCACTATTTCACAATGTTTTTCATTTGAAACAGTTGATATTAATATTATATTGAAATCAAGCCTGTTTTGTACATTGCGGGATAATGATTTCATATTAATTTGGGAATGTACTTGTACACTGTATTTAGATGAAAAATCTTTTTTGGGGTTAATTTCAAGGCTGAAAGGATTGTTCAACAATTACTGATCAACTGTTTCTTCCAAGAATGGCTGGAAATGTTCTAGTATATACTGAAAATTAAAATAAATAAATACGCTGTTTGCAATATTTTTCAGCAATATTTTCACCTGTGACTTAGTAAAATGGCAGACAAGCGATCTGTTTTCACGAGCTTCAGCCAACTTTTCCCAGGTTCCATTTGTTGCAGTTCTGTATGCCATTCTAGCATCAAATGTAAATGTTGGTGACTCCTTTGTTTCTGGATCTAGAACAGAGTATCGTTATTGTCGCCAGTAACCAATAGCAAAACTTTACCATATCATTACACTTTATCCACATGTACATGTATGTTGTGTAGCTGCATGTGGCAAATTTGATTTCAAAAGAATTGGGGTTGTAATTACATGTAGGGTCTAAGGGGGATTGTCCACAGAGGAAAATAAAAACTGGGAGAACCTGCCCCATCAGTTTCACCTAAACCCCTAGCAAAATTATTACAATTCTCCGTGTTGAAACTGGGTTGACCCTAAAGGGAAACCAGCTACAATAAATTATTTTTCAAAAAAAATATCTCTATTAAGACACTCACACATATCTATACTGTTAATTTTATGATACATGTACGAGCTTCGTCAGAATGTGAGAAGTTTTGCTGTGTTGTTGCTGCTTGGTTGCTTTACAATTTGCTATTAAAANAATTTGATTTCAAAAGAATTGGGGTTGTAAGTACATGTAGGGTCTAAGGGGGATTGTCCACAGAGGAAAATAAAAACTGGGGGAACCTGCCCCATAAGTTTCACCTAAACCCCTACGAAAATTATGACAATTCCCCTTGTTAAAAGTGGGTTGACCCTTAATTATTTTTCAAAAGAATATCTCTATAAAGACACTCACACACCTATACTGTTAATTTTATGATACATGTACAAGCTTCGTCAGAATGTGAGAAGTTTTGCTGTGTTGTTGCTGCTTGGTTGCTTTACAATTTGCTATTAAAATCTCACAAAAGTTCAAGAAGTAGTATGTACAGTTTTTTAAAGCTCTCACATGACGAGTGTCTTGTCTTGTGATCTCATCTCTCAAGATGATGGTCTCGCCTCTCAAGATGAGAGCATCATCTTGTGCAGTGGTAAGAACTTACTTTTAAGTGGTACTAACCTGTTTCGTAGTGATATTCTGGCAAGTATTCAATTTCCAATCTGATTGATGTGGCTATGAACTGAAACCAGCGAGTCATAGTAAGACCAGGATGAGGAAAGCGAATTGAAAAGATAATTTGGTCAGGTCGGATGTGTGCTGGATCACTTTCAGCTTCTTTCAAGTTATTGAGTCGATGACATGATACTGGATCATAAAAAGCATCCAACCTGTCATAATCTGCAACGCAAAGGTTTGCAATGTGTGCTGTAGCAGATGTTGGGGCCGGAGCTGAAAAGTGATGTATGAAATAATGTCACTCAGTAGCTATATTTAGAAAGCAGGTTGTAATA